GCGTTCCCGTTCTTCCCGTTCACGAATTATTCTAATGCGTTCTCGCTCTCGACGCTCTCTTTCTGCAATCTCTCTTCGTCTAACAAAAATCAGTATTTAGAAATACTTAAATTATGCTAGCAATGTGTGAAAGAGAAGAGCTTTTGAATTTGAGTTTTTCCTTGAGGCTGGCAGTTTTAAATTTCAACTTAATCTCAATAGTTTTAATGTAATTGGAAAGAGAACTCAAAATAAAACTTTAAACAGATTCCAGTATTATCACTTAGGACTGTCAACTAAGCAGATGAAGTTTTATAGAATATTTGCCTTTTAGATGATTCCTGTTTAAATAAATATCCCCCTATAGTAATAGCCCACTAATTGACATTTTAAAAAAGGAGATAGTCTACGTACACATATTTATAAAACTGTAACTTCTGTGTTTTTTTTTTTTTTTTTAACGGAGTCTCACTATGGAGCCCAGAGGTCTCAAACTCACACTCCTCCTGCTTCTGCCTCCCAAGTGCTGGGGTTACAGGTATGTACCATCATGCCTAGCTATCAATTATTTTTGATGGGAAAATTCCCAAATGTCTGCCTTATATTCTGTCTCCTTAAGTAAGGTATAAACTTTATTCTTATGGCTTGGGATTATAATCAGACACAGCAATTTAGCAAATGCTACATATAACAAAATGATGCCCATGAGAGTTCTTTTGGAGTGCTCACTAGCTCCTAATCGATGGCCCCAGGTAACATGCTCTTTGGAGTCACAGATAACTTAGTTCAATTATTTGCTGACCTGAATTAAGTTACTGATTAGACTTTTCATATTGCTTCTGTCATTTCCTCACTTTTAGTATAAGTATACTTTTTTGGTTCACCAAAATGTCTTCCTCTAGGTTCTCAATGAGTCAATATTACTCCCATGGAAAGTGATGAGTGATTTTATTTCATTTTTTTTTTTGGTAGGCATAGAGTTTCAACTCAGGGTTTCACACTTGCAAAGCAGGCTCTACTGCCTGAGCCACACTTCCCGTCCACTTTGCTCCGCTGATTTTGGAGATGGGGGTCTTGTGAACTATTTGTTTAGGCTGGCCAAAAACCAAGATCCTCCTTGTCTCAGCTTCCCAAGAACCCAGGATTACAGGTGCAAACCACTGGTGCCCAGTTTGAGGAGGGATTTTACATGATCACAATTACCAGTGATGTTACTAGCATTTAGTGGATGGGGATCAAAAACTCTAAATACTTTATGATGTATGAATTGTCAGAGTAGTCCTACACAATAAAGACTACCCCAACACTCCTCATACTGCCTCAGTTGCCATTCATGTCATTAAAAAATAACAAAAGACTTTACAAAAGTAACAAGTAAGCCGAGAACTCAACTCTATTTTTAATAAATGCTAGGCTTATTTATTTGCTTTGGCACAGTTTTACATACTAAAATTTTCAATAATGCAAATTCATGGAAATAGAGGGAAAATTATACTTTTTTGAGAGCTTAACCAAGAGTTGTTCACCATTTCAGAAACCATGTCAAAATGTCAACACCACTCCTGGTATTCGACTCACCAGTGCAACATACCAATGTCGGTCTGTACTTGTAGCTTTCACATAGGGTACAAACATCTGACTACTTCATTAAGTCTTCTGAGTCATGCCTAAACATTCCTATCTGGAATATATATTTTATTTATTACTCTTATTACAGATATAAGTCAATTTCATTTCAAGAGAGTAAGGACGGCATTGCAACACTTTTTTATTTAAAAGAGTCATTGGGATGGATGCAGTGGTTCATGCCTGAGGTCCGAAATATTCAGGAGGCTAAAGCAGGAGGATTCCTTGAGCCCAGGAGTTCTAAGTCAGCCTGGGCAACATAGGGAGACTCCGCATCAAAACTAAAACAGACGTTGATGTGATTAGTGCCCTGGTAGCTCCCACTCCCATTCTCCTCCCAGCCTGATGTTAACTAAATGAACAGGAAGCTAAGCATGCTGGGACTCCATCTAAATCAAATGGAAAATAGGTTTTGAGTGCTTCAGGAATTATTTCCTTTTACTAAAGCTGTATGGTCATAGTTATATTATCTCAGTTGCCAAAGTAGTGCTGATAGTTCCTAACACTTGTAAATGAAATCCCCATGAGTGACTGTTGGATACTGCTGGATAAGATAGGTTAACATTTGGAAAAGTATGTTCACAAGAATATTTCAAGTGGCATCCAAAACCTGATATATGAAAGTAAGCTGGAACTCACGAATATGAGATATGGCCACCAAAAAACAGAAGCATCCTGGTTTTTGGTTTTAGTCTTTTTTTTTTTTTAAAGAATGCTTGCTTAGGAATATAGTCACTTATCCAAGAATATATATATATATATATATTTTTTTTTTTTTTGCCAAATTTGTGACAGTATTTCAACATCATAGCCTAGTTCTTCTTTAAGACATGTGTTTTAGGCAGCAGCTTTGGAGTCTTTAGAGGAAAGAGCATCGGACTTGGAGTCAGAAGACTTGGATCTGAGTCCCGACTCTGCCACTCATTAGCCATGTGGCACTGGAAGAGTCACTTAGCCTCTCTGGGCCTCCATGTTTTACGTTAAATATTGTTGAGCTGGAGATAACGATGAAAAAGCATTTTGCAAACTGTGGTGTGCTACGTAAACCTAAGAAGTCATTGCATGGCACTGCACTTCTTTGAAGTGGAATTGTATTCTGTGGGAACACAATTTCTAGAAAACTGGCTGACATCTGGTGTTAAAGATGCACCTGTATTTAAAGACAGGTATAAAACAGACTCTGCTCCTACCTTCGAAGTTCCAATGCTCGTCGCAGTCTTTCAAAGCGAACTAAATGTTCTCTCAATCTTTGTTCCTTCATTTTTTCAAAAGGCAAGATCTCTTTCCTTCTGTAGTCTTTGTCCCGTTTTTTATCTAGGCTAGCCCTCTCCTTTTCCTTGCTTCTTCCATGAATCTATAGAAAAAAATTTAAGAGGACTAGAAGTTAAAATAATTTTGTATTTATTTTTCAGGTTTATCTGGTTATTTAAAAATTTCCAATGACCATTAACAATTCCTACTTGAAAGATTTCCTAGCATGTAAGTATGCAAAAGTGCTTTAGAGACAAGAGAACTGTCTTTGGAAGCAGCTGCTTCCAAACTGCTCTCAGACACTTACTTTCTCGTATCGTCCTCTTCTGGATGGCCTACAGTGATCTCCCTTAGTTTGGTCTAATATTACCATATGTCCTGGGCTCTTTGAACCTAAGAGAAAACAAAAATTTTTTTTTAGATACACAAATATCTAAATAGAATTCTGTTGAACATATGTATGTAAAAGTAGTCAATTCTTAGTCAGGTATTTACAAAGCAATGTATGAAATAAAACCTTACTTTTTCTAACGTAAATGGAAAAATTTTTAAAAAGTTCAATCTGTCAACAATTTCTTGAAATGCTACCAAAAGATCCTAACTCTTCTAAAATTTAAAATACATCAAACACCATTTTAAGTCAGCTCAGATTTTTTTTTTTTGCTATACTCCCAGTGTAAGGCAGCTAAGATTTAAAAGTAAAGTATACGAGCTTAGCAGGAAGAATATTTTTGTTTCTTAAGAGTAGGAAAAGGAGGACATCTGGTCCTACTAAGCCTCCTTTTCTACCTCAGACAGCTAAAAACAAGGTTCAAACACTCATCTGGATTTGTAATCTCAGTTTTCTCTTCCACTGTAAAAAGTAAGCAGTGGGATGCATTAGAAAGAGACAAGAAGAAAGATACATGGCATACTTATTCGCTTCTTTTCTTCATTTTTTTTAATTGATTCTGAAGTTTGGCCACTTGCTCCATTATCACTCTTCTCATCTTTACCTTCTATTTTCTTAGTATCCTTGCTTTCTTTTTTTTCAGATTTCTCAAATGATCTTTTCTCTTCTTTTTTGATAGAGGCTTGTGTCCTAACCATATCACCCAAGACAAGAAAACAGAATGAGAACTACTTTTGTTAATGTAACAAGTCTATTTGCTTGTTAAAAAATAAACCTTAATTGAGCACCAATAAATAAGTAAAAAACAAGCAAATATATAAATCCTTACTTGCTACTTCTATCACTCATATTTTTTTTGTCTCCAGAACTTCTTGAACTATTCTTTTCATCATTTTCTTTCTTCATTTCTTTCTTAGAAGGATCACCTTTTACCTAAAGATTTAAAACAGAAAAAAAAAAATCTTTTAAGTTTTAAAGTTACATTTTTATGATTATAAAAAGTGTGTTGAGCCAGGCATATTGGCATATGCCTGTTATCACAGCACTTGGGAGGCACAGGAAGTGGACTGTGAGTTAGAGACCAAACTAGGCTATACAGTGAGCTCAAGACCAGCCTCCTGGGCTACATACATAGTGAGACCCTTTCTCAGCAAAGTGTGTTAATAGCAGAAAATTTGCAAAACATAGGAAATACAAAGAAAATGAAGTTTAAAAACCTGAAGACAAAAAAATACTTCCTAATTCTACTTCTTGCCAGATTCTTTCTTGTTGTTCAGGACAGGGTCACACTATGTCTAGCGCAAATAGGCTTCAACCTCATGATCCTCATGCTTAGCCTCTAAGCATTGGGATTAACAGGCATATACCACCAAGTATGGCTCTCATGTTTAAATTGAGAATTACAGCTTGACTATTCCTTATGCAAAATGCCGGAGATCACAGTGTTTCAGATTTTGGAATATTTGCATAGACTTTACAGGTTGAGCATCCAAAATTGGAAAATCTATTCTGAAACTCTCTAAAATTCAAAACACCAGTGCCACTAAAAAAAATTCCAGATTTTGGGTTGGTGGAGTGGCTCAAATGGGAGAACACCTGCCTAGCAAGCATGAGGCCCTCAGTTCAACCTCAATAGCACCAAAAAAAAAAGTTTTAGATTTTGGATTTTCAGATTAGGGGATGTTCAACATGTACTAGCCCTCAAATTAATCTCCCATTTATAAACAGTTATGCGCGCTTACTTTTTCAACAGAAATCAGCTGTCCATGGAGCTCAGTGCGATGAAGATGTGCGATGCATCTGGACACCTCTGTGCTCGAAGACATAGTTACAATGCCATAGCATTTTGCACCAGGACTTCGAGCATTTGTAACTACCTTTGCACTTAAAACCTATAATGAGATGGACTTCAGAAGGTTTTACAACTTTACAATTACACACATTTCTAAACAAGTGAAACTTCAAAACTAAGACTATTCAAATTATAGGACACAGTCAAGATAAGATAATAATACAGGATGTTATTCTATTTCATAGTATTGTGTACTTAGTAAGTATTTAGGGGAAGAATTTAAAGTGTCAAAAAGCAATTTAAAGGGCTGGAAACATGGCTCAAGTGGTAGAGGCGTGAATTCAAACCTCAGAATCACCCCCACCGCCAAAAAAAGGGCAATTTAACTTATTTTTTTACAAATCTGTCTCTCCACCCCAATATACAGTCAAAACAATTTATCACATCAATGAAATAATGATGAAATAATGGTATAATTAACAAAGGCAAAGAAAATGGATTTGAGCCAAAATTTCCTTATGATAGGCACACCCTGAATTTCTTAGAGAAAATAAGGTTAAGTTCTAGATAATTTATAGGTGAGTGTTAATACTTCCTGTAAGTCACTTTGTATTTCAAAAAATGAGTAAAGAACCAAGCATATGTTAAATAAAAAAGACTTAAAGCTATACCTAAAAAATACATGACAAAACTTTAAAAGATATCTTTTCCATTTATGTGCTTTCAAAATTTTTATCAATATAAAAGTGATGAATAATTTCAATTCCAGAGTATGCGCCCTTAAGAGAACAAAGCAGGGATGGATGAGTGAGGAGAAAAACAGTAAGAACAATTCAGTGCTGACAGAGAAACAAAGACACAACGCCAGGAAGAGGTAAATAGGAAATTTAGGTATTATAGGGTGGACTGCTGGAAACTATCAGGTTTTCTTTCAAGTCTGGCAAAGGCTGATTTGTCCCCATAGCCATTTAAGTTTTATAGCTAGAGTCATGTTATCAAGTAGATGGTATCCTTATATAGTTTTGTTCTTAATAAATGCCAACATTAAAGTGTTGTTTTCACATATCTAATAATACACTACTGAGAACAGAAAAAAACATACCACAGTTGATTGTGGAACTACAGTTCTCAATGTTCTCTATCTGACAACTACAAGACCCTCCTTGGCTCAGATGACTTTCTAATTAAACAAGAAACCCCTCCTAAAAGCAATAGGACCGGTTTGTAACATTCATTAATGGCTATTTACCAACACTGATCATTAATAAATATTTAAAGTCTACCACGTACACACAAAGTACAATAGATAAGGTCAAAAAGCTTATATTAGAGTAAGTTAATTAAATACGATGTATGGGAGATAAAGGAGAATGACAGAGGGGGTGAATTTAATTAAGATATATTGTAAGCACTTTTGTAAATATCACAATGTATTCCCAGTACAATATAATAAAAAAATTAAATATGATGTATATGAAAAACCCAGAAGAAAGTACTTCATGCCCTGACAGATACAGATTAATTGCAGTTCAATGTAACAGCTATTAACTGAACATTCTTTGTATACTATTTTTCTTCTTTAGGTCTCTCCTCTTAAAAGCCAGAGAAATTTTCCCAGACGAATGAACCAAAATAAAGCCCCCTTTTTTCTCTCCAAACACCCCACACTTATCCTTCATAGCACGCAAGACATTTTCTAATTACTTAAATGCACACATACAGAAAAATGCAGAGTTTTACATTTTCTCCTAACACTGGAATGGAATTGAGGGGTATTTTCTTCCAATGTAGATATTCTACTGCCTAATATCACCCTACTATAATTTCAAGGTGGCCAAATTAGCCTCAGCAAATGTGCTAGATCCTTTGCTAGATATTGGGGGAATAAAACTCAGTTCTTGGCTTAAAATGGGTTCAAGTTTTGGAATACAAAGATCATCAGGGCTGAAAGTGAGATGAAATGAAACTACCATCAACCCTTAACCCCAATATGCCATCACCTCAGAACTCAATAAATGTGCCTTTAACAGTCCTAAGAGACACAAAAGTTAGAATTTATTTATACAACCCTGTTTTGAATACCACTTCTGTTTGAAATGCAGATACTAGAAAGGTGGGTTAAAAGGTAAAAAGAATGTACCTTTCCATATTTGCCAAAGAGGTTCTTCAAATCAGCAGCTTTGGTGTTAGAAGAAAGTCCACTAACCCAGATATTTTTAGTTGAGCTTCCACTGCTACCACTAGTACTACTTGTACTTCCTAGAACAGATTAAACATCAGATGTTTAAGTAGTCTTACTAAAACTATTTTATTTGCCAACTTATCAGGATTACACTCTTTATAAAGTTATAAAATCTTTTCATTTCACTTTGACACTATGACTTTACTGTATTAAAAATTCTATGAATTTGCTATTACTAAAATAAAATAGAATAATATATAACTAATGAGGAAACAAATTTGAGTATGTGGACTGGAGGTATGGCTCAAGCCATAGAGCACCTGCTTTGCAAGCACTAAAGCCCTGAGGTCAAACCCCAGGACCAACGGAAAAAAAAATTTAAAAATCTGAGTATTTGTATGCTTCCTATTGTGCACATTTTATGTCAAAGTGGATGAAAATCAACTAAATGCCTTAGACTTTTTCTGTCATGTTTTAATAATTTATACTCTACCACCGTACTACACACAGGCAACAGGAAGCAGTCCTCTAGGGAATGAACACACTGTTTAAGGGCTTATCTGTTGTGGGCCTCAGATCTTGAGAAACTGGAGTGGAAGAGGGAAAAGTCAGAGAAAGGGATAAACTCTTTAATAACTTAAATGACTAATGAGATTGGCTATCCATTCTTCATTCTGTATAAGAGAAAGGATAAGAGAAAATGGAACTATATATAGCTGGATAACTCAGGATCTAATAAAGGGGGAAAAACGCTTTTAAAACAACCACAAGAACTGAAGACCAGAGATCTCAAAATCATTAAGAAAGGGTAAATGATTACATGAATCATTTCTGTGTTATTTCCACACAAATTATGGTTTCATACATACAGATGCCAACTCTGAGAACACAAGCCTACTCAGTCACTCTTTAATGCTTTTACTAAATGTGCTGTGATAGAAGGAACAATCTCTAAATTCAGTGCTTTAAAAAGTTACATGACATAAATGTTAGCAGTTCAAAATCTACATCAGTGTAGACTTAAGGGAGAGGAAACATCACATACTTGACTCAATTATTTTAAATTTTAATGGTTGATGCTTTTCTATTTAAAAGCTCTTTTTAAATTTTATGAATGTTAACTAAAATCTGCATATCTTTTTACCAGTAATATTTGGGCCTAGGTGCTTTATCTAATTATAGAAAAAAAATTTAATGTTAAGAAGGCACTATTTGTCCAAGACTACTAAGCTTCTCAGGGTTTTTTTGCCTTACATAATTACTTTTATTGTTAGAAATCATTTTCTAAGTTAAGATCATGCATCAACTAGCAATATCTTGGATAATCTGCCCTCCTGGATTTCCACTTATCCTCATGGAATCTATTTCCACACAGATTCCAGAATGGTCCTTTAAAAATGAATGTGAGAGACCAGGTCCCTTCTTCTCTAACTCTCACACTGATGTATTCAGAGCTAAGTCTCAAATCTTCACAACAAATTAAGACCCCTATGTTTTCTGGAGCCCTACTTTCTCTCTACTAAGCTTCTAAATCTTTAAATTTCATCCTTTAAGATGAAATTTATCTTATGCAAAGATGTAGGTAATGTAATTGTTAATTACTAACTCAAATCATTACAATTTATAACTGTTAAAACTTAACAACAAAACATATTAAATACATTATAGAGGACATGTATAATCCTCCTTTAGAGTTATCTGAATGATATATTTTATCTTAAATGCTTTGTAGAAAGCAAGTGTTTTCAAGCAGTCATAGCACATGTAGATAGGCATGAGATAACCAGAGATTTCCCAACAGCAAAAGCAATCAAATATTGCTCCTTAAAACTTACAGCAACTTAAAATAAAATTACTTTCCTATATAAGACAACCACCAATCCAAAATAAGTGAAATTGGGGAATAAACTGTGAAACATTAAAATACTGGACCGTGACTATGTTCACAGATGCCTACCCTGGTTTAAAAAAATGACAGAAGTAAAACCAAGTATTAGATTTTCTTTTAAATACTAGACCTCACAAATATACAAGTATTATTTATTATTATTCATATTTTCTCCCAGACAGAAGAGGAAACAGATGTGGTTGTATATAGTGTTCAAACCACTGCAACTGAATAAAAAAATTTTGAAATTATAATGTAAGAAAATGAAATAATCTATGAATATTCGATATAGTTGCTTAGAACACAATATATTTCCTAGCAAATGGACTTTTAACATACTAATGCCAGTTCACAAAATAAGCAGTTAAAAGAGTAATGCTTTAATCACAGGGTTTACTATACTCTAGCACCAGAGGTAACATAAAGGCCATCCAAAAATTTTCATCTGTCATGAAAATTTTAAAGACTACATGTCAAAGAAAACACCAGACAACTATTACTTTTTAGCGGAAAGTATGCGTTGCTATCACTGAAATAATCAGGGAAAAAAAATCCGTTACCTTTGTCATCTTTAGATGATGTCTTGCTGTCTTTAGATTCCTTTGAAGAGCTAAAGAGGCAAATCACCAGAAGAATATTGAAAACAAAAAAAAAAAAAGAAAACAAAAAAACAAAACAAAAATCGAACAGATTCATATCGACCATATTGCAAACTAGTGCTATTCATACAAAGTAACAATTCCAAAAGCCTAGTTTAGATTATTTGAACAATGACTCCCTTAGGATCTTGTACTGATTCTCCCCAAGATGCCTGAAGAGCTAGATTTTCTGACAATTCTATTCAGTGGATATATGGCCATCTTCTCCAGATTTCAGGACTGGGACTTGACTTCATTTTGTGTTCTTAGAACTGACAGTTGTTCATTAACCATCATCACAAGGATTTTTAAAAATAAAACACAAAAAATTGTCAATTTGAAAAAAAAACACCAAAAACAACCAAAAAGAAAAAAAAAAAAAAACCAAATATATGCTGACAATTCGACAATGCAATCAGTAGGACACACTGCATATTATGAAGATCTTGACTTTTTTTAAGTAACTTATGACGATCAAAAATATTATAGGCAGGATCATAAGACACTAATTACTGTACATGGTCTTGAAGCCACCCCCTTAATGTAGAGTGATCTTATTGAATGCTGGAATTCAGTATCGTAAAGAACTGACATAGAAAGACAAACCTCTTTGCTTGACCAGAGGCCCCAGTAGACGAGGGCCCTTTCTTCAAAGTATCCTTTTCTTTATCTCCAGATTCTGCTTTCTTAGAACTTTCTCTGGCTTCCTTCTCGACAGGATCACCCTTCACGCAGTCTTCCTTCTTACCATCTTTATGGTTCGCATTCATCTCATAATCCTTGGTTTCCTTCTCCGGGCTCTGTGCAATGGCGTCCTGCCCATCTTTTGGCTTACTTGCTTCAGAATCTGTAATTTTCACATTTTTACCTGTTTCTAGGAGGTCATCACCATCAAAATCCAGAGTGATGGCATCTTCAGCCTGGATTGTGACCGAGATGTTGTCATCCTCAGCTTCTTTCACTGTCGCATTAGCTTCCATCTCTT